TAACAAGGACAAAACGAATATTAACATGTAAACTTCATGTATGCATGGGTGAAACCCACAGGGAAAATGAGTTGACTCTAGGAGGTGTCATAGAATCCAGACTTAGCTATCAATTTCACAGGAGAAGGGAGAGTGATCTAGACCTCTTCAGGGAGAGTAAATGATTTTTAAAAAAGATGAATGAATGCTTAGAACAGCTGGGAGGTATGGGAGTTCAAATTTTTCCGAGTATGGTGTCAGCTTCTAGTCTTCTCTCCTGTGATGACTGTTTTCGCTGGTGGAGGAAATTTATGACAATTGAGTTTTGCTTGGAAGCTCTGTCTTCAGGCAGATAAGGGGTGTTCAGAGAAAGCCTATCCCTATGTTTGCTGTTTTTCATTTGAAGTGTCTATTGCTCAAAATAATCCTCATGCCAAAGCAGCATATTATGGGGTGGCTTATTCTATCACCCTTCATCAGCAATGTCCCAAATAGGGGCTGTTGTACCAGTCTCACTCCCAGAGTGGAGAGAACTCAGAAAAGAGCTACACAGAGTACACAACCTATAATTAAGATGAAGGAGACATGAACTTGAGATGGTGGAAGCCAGTGAGTTTTGTGGAGTTTCTTGTTACTGTAGCAAAACCTAGCCCACACTAACTGATACACCCAAAGAGTCAGAGGAGTTTTCCTTATATCAAAAGGGAGTTTTATGCATTGAAATAAACTTTTGACTTATATTCTATACATTTAGATTATATATTGTAAGTCATTTTAAGTCTTAAAATCATATAATTTACAAACTTACACATTTTATATTAGTATTTTATTAGCCAATTTTATTTTTGATTTATGCCTCACTAGCATAAAAATTTGAAAAAGTACACCCAATGTGTCAAATTTTAAAAGTTCAGTTCTAAAAATGTTAAACCATAATCTAACCTTAATACATTTGATTTTCTCAAGTCCTGCAAAAACTAAAATAGCATTCACATTTCCAAAAACAAAATATTCCCAAACACTTAACACACTATATATTAAAAGTTTAACTCTATAAATTTAATTACTATAACCTGAACATTTAAGCATTGACTTTAATTACCCATAGGTTATGATTATTAATAAAAGTCTACTTCATTAGTCTCTTTACTCAACTTTCTCATCTTAAAAGACAGACAAAAAGTTATTCCTATATAAAATTTATTACTAGACATAACTTAGCTTGTCATCAAAGGGTCTTTGAAAGATTTCTTGTTTTCTGGCAATAACAAGATATTTCAGACCCTCCTACTTCCTGCCCTAAAACATTCTGCTCTTCAGGGAGATTCGTACCTTCCTTGGTCATCTGCGTGGAATGCAGAGAAAGTGGATCTGCAGAGCAGCCCCAGGGACCTCAAAGGAAAAGCCAGAAATTCAGAGTAATGTTTGGCTTGACAGCCTTGAGATACTGAACCAAAACCCCAGGTGTTTAAGCCACTGAGCTCCCATCTGTTACTCAAATGCAATCCCTTACTCATCTAATGGCCATACAAATATAGAAGCTCAGAGAAGCTGAACACAGGAAAAGGAAAAATGGACTTTAAGGGGAAGATCTTAGAGAGGGGTGGTATAGGAGTTGGGGAGAGAGGCAAGATCTGGCAACCTCTGTAAAAACACCTGCATTTAGTAAGGATTCTAAGAAAAATTTACCTTTTCCTCCTCATGTACAAAACGAGGGTTCAAACAATAACATCCACAGTCTCGTTGTAAGACTCAGGTCAGACATGTGTCCTGTGCTTAATAAACATTAGATATAGTTATTTTAAAGCTGGGTGTCCAGAGTGGATCAGAACCAGGGGATAGAATATCACAGGGAATCCAAAGTCACTTCTTTCTCTCCTCTGGCCCCAATCCTCCATTCACAACTGCGCCTCTGCACAGCGGCTTTAAGTCTTATCGTCCCATGAATCAGCTTTCTCCCTGTGTCCATTATGCTTAAAACAGCCACTAACACACGTTTTAAGTTTCCCAACTCCTCCGTTCAGTCTTAAGTTGCACTTTTAGTTCTAAATTCTAATTTCCAGAGGGGCTGGTTGCCCCACCTAGAAGGGAAAATCCAGCCAGTAACAGAAGAGCTTCACATAGAACATAACTCCTCCTGCTAGGACCTTAAGAGTTCCAAAAGATGGACAGGGAAAAGCAGGGAGGGGTGCAATAAACAGGACAAAACAGATGAACAATGGGTACATTTTCTCTGAATGCAAAAGCACCTACCTGTGTTCTGACAAGACCCTCATCTTAACCAAACTTTAGTTACACATCCGGGATCTCTCTTCTTGATGAAGGCTCTATTTCAGTTTCCCTATCTATCTGGTCGCTGCTGGGTCTGCCTAGCCCAGTCTTAGCATGTACCCCCAACCCCCTCCTCAGTATCTGATCTAGTTCTTCATTCCCCACTTTTGATGTGTAAGTTAAGAGTCCCTTAAGCAAGACTCCTATTAGGTCAGTTTCGCAAGAATCTCCCTACCTTTACGTCTCCTTTTGTAATTTTCCATCCACTGGCCACCCCCTCCACTTCTTGGTTATAAATCCCTGTTTGTCCTTGTTGCATTTGGAGTTGAGCCATTAAAAGATAAACTTAAGCATATTAAATTTTTTTAGTTTATTTGAGCAAAAACTTATTCAATTTGGGGTGTAATCTATCAGGTACAAAGGCGCTCCAAGAAGCTGTACACAGTGAAAGACTTATAAACAGAAGGGAACAGGGACAAGGCTGTCATGCTCAGCCAAAAAGTAGACCGGTTACGGAATGGTTACTTTTTTGGGGGGGCTGGCAGGAGTCTAACTTACCTAGTACTGTTCAGGCAGTTGATGGTTGACTGGTTTAAGATTCCATTTCAGTTTGAAACTATAATTAAGTCTCAGTTTGGTGACATGAGGCTTAGTAAAATCAACTCCATTTTGGGTTTGCTGTCATTTTAACAGGCCTTATTTCTCTGCCCTATTGCAAATGCCCTGCTGCAAAGGTCTTAAATGAAGTCTTCTTTACTGATTTAACAAGTATCAGAATGTCTTCTTTATTTTTATTTTTTGGTTTTTTTTAAAAAAGATTTATTTATTCATGCATACAAGAACCAGGGTACAGGCCAGATGTGTGGGAGGGTGAGAGGATTCACCAGAGACAGAGTAGGGCACAGAACAGGCAGACTGGCTGAAATACACTGCTGAGGGGAGCAGCGGGTGAGACAGGAGAGGTCTGCCACGCCATGTGGGACCCTCGCTGGCTGGCCAGGATCGAACCAGCACTACAGAGGCTGAGGAAAGCTTCACAGCGCTGCACTCAACCACCTGCGCTACCAGGGAGGCCCCAGAATGTCTTCTTTAACAGTTCACACACAGAATGGTTTTCATCTAACCTACTGAATTACAGTAAGTCACAAAAATACATTTTTAAGAGAATTGAACTGAAAAGCACCACCCGCTTGCACTGAAAGATACAGAGATAGTTCAAATGAAAGCCACTTGGTTCCCAACAATTTAGAGACAGGAAATAGACTAAGTAAACTAATCAGCTGCAAATCAGGCCTGTTCTTATGGAAAAGTAAGGATGAGTTATAAGGTGCAACTATAGGTGATGCTTTCTTGGTTCAGTTCCTTGGGTGTGGCTCGGTGGGTAGACACCTGATAATTAAAAAGACAAGTTATCTGCCTTCCACAATCCTAAATACAAAGTGAACAAGGACAGGGTAACTACAATAGATAATCCCTTTCAAAATGAGTGAAGTCTGAATAAGCTTTGTAGTTTATAGTGCCAAAAGCTTCCCATGGGTTGAGTAAAAGGAGACAATAGATTTAACAATATGGGGGTCACCAATGATGTTCAAAAGCAGTTTCCGAGGAATCGTGTGTGTGTGTGTGTGTGTGTGTGTGTGTGTGAGAGAGAGAGAGAGAGAGAGAGAGAGAGAGAGGTAGAGAGAGAGAGAGGGAGGGAGAGGGAGAAAGCTTTATTGCTGAGTGTAAGAAGTGATGGTGGTGGACATAAGAGTATGGATCTTCCTGAATTCCCACAAAAAAACAGAGCAACCAGATATCATAACCAAAAGACTGTGCACAACACTGACAACAAAAAGGGGTGAACCCCAAAGCACTCGTGCAGAGGATGAACCATCCAAAGGCAGAAGAAGCCTTGGATGGTATCAGCCTCTAAGTAGGCTAAGCAGGAAGCAGCAGAGAGACAAAAACTGGAGCAAACAGAAAGTAGACTGGTGGATGCCAGTAAACAGGGGCATCAGGGGATAGGGAGCTGTTGCTTACTGGGTAGATTCAGCTTTGCAAGATGAATTTTGGTGGCTGGATGCACAATAAAGTGACTGTACTTAATACTATTGAACTGTACACTTAAAAATGGTTAAGATGGTACAAATTTTATGTCACATGATACACATAATTTGAGAAATCAGGTAACTAATCTCATATAAAAAATTAGAAGTATTAAAATTTAATCCCAAGGTATTTTATGAAAAACAAGTACTAGTACTATGTGACACTACTAAAGAAATTAAAGAACTAGGTAAGTGAAGATGTAATCATATTGATAAGAGTCAGTGTTATATCAGTTCTGCAGATTGATCCAATGACCACACCATAGGTTGAGTAAAAGAAGACAATAGATTCCCATCCCAATACACCAACCTAATCAAGGGAATCACAAGTTAATTCTAAACTTTAAAGCAAAAGGCATAGAGCAGTTAAATCTTGAAAAAAATAAACTATTTTGCTGGACTTATACAGCCTTCTTTAAAGGCTTAGCCTAATTATCAGGTTTAAGACAGTGTATCACAGGCATGAGAATAAGAAAAGAGAAGCAAGTCACAGGCACTCTGAGAGAGAAAGAAGGCAAAACACTTGGGTTTTCATATTTGCTGTTTCATTTTCAAGAATCAGATCAAACTCTTATGATGCTTGAGAGTTGATTAGCATTGGAAGGCAATATCTTCAGAAGACACCTACCTGAAGGACTTTAATTGTATCTTTAAAAAGAGAAAAAAAAAAAAACCAAAGTGATTTCCAATTTTATTAAAGTACAGAGTTAACAAGTTTTGAGTTTTCTACATAAGAAAAGACTGGTCAAGTTTCAATGCTTTATAGAAAAATTAGCATTCAAAAACAAATATAAATCCATAGTTGCCTTCGTGACTAAAGGGGGAAAAATAACTATTTTTCAAAGTTACCAAAAACTCTAAATATATCCAAGACTATTATAAATTTCAAACAGTAGATTTACATTTTCAAATTCTTATATAGCAAAACTTAACCACAAAATTTGGCTATAGCTAATGATTTCAGAAAAGTTTAAAAAATTAACAAAGTTATGACTATAGAACTTTTATAGTTTTTTTTTTTTGCAAAGTAAAAAACCTTAAATCTTTAATAAAGGACAACAAAACAATCCTCTTAAATTTCTTATAAATAGCTCTCAAGACATATATTACACCACAGCTGAAGCTTTCTTTACCTGAGAGACTCTCCCAGGAACCCATACCCTAAAAGGATTACCTTAAAAAAAACCTCTTCCATCATTTTACTCACAAATATGATTGAACTCCTGACAAAATGGATTTGGGCATCTGTATGCTTAATATGTCTTTCCATGATTAAGTTTTTTTCTGAAAGGGTTTTGTTTTAAAAGTAAAACAAAACAAAAACAACTCTTTGGTAAAAAAGTCCAATACTTCTCCCTTTCAAAATGATGCCTCTGCAGATGATTTACTAAGGAAAAAGAGAAAGATCTTTAGAATGTTAGTTCTAAAGACCTGTGTAAACAGCTCTCCAGTCCTGTTGAGGGAGGTCCCATCTCTGCCAGAAATGCAATGCTAGATTTAAAATGTCTGAGGCTTTACAAATCGATTAAAGATGGCAGGAAACAGGGTGGCCTTAAGATCAAAGTCCTAGGGAGTTAGTTCAATTAGCAAATTATGGAAATCATCCTACAGAGAATTCCAGAATCCCATGAGCCAAGTGGCTACTGATTGCACTGTCCCTGATGAAGGATGGTCCAGTGTTCTTCCAGATGTGCAGGGTCTCAGTCCCTGGTCACACCCTTAGTTGTAGGTTAATTCCTATTTCATTTCCAAGAGGAACGGCACACATCAAAAAGAAAATGCCATCTTGAAAGGCAATAAGGAGAGAAAAAAAGACTCAAGCAGGTCCTCGAATTCCCTTGTAGGATAAAACATGAAGCACCAATGGTGGTAAACTTCTGGCTAAAATTAAATAAGCACATATTCTTAAAAAGGTAGAGGGTAACAATTTGGGGAGAAATTAGCACTACATGGATTAATTCATAATTAAGCATTTTCTGAGGAACTGGAAATAAGCAATGTCGTGTGGGCACCTCCAGGCTGACCACTCCTGATGGGCACCAGAACCCTAAAGCTCCAGCAACCTCACCCTCTGAACAGTTCACATGCACACTGACTGTTACTCTACAAAAGAGCTCCACATATGGGTGGCAAACAATTCCTTCAAGCCATTCCCCAGAAACTGTGAGGACAAAACCAAAACGAACTAACCAGTATTATAAAAACAATAACCAAAGAAGGGTTTTTGAAGTCTGTGGTCTTCCATCAGCTGGCATGTCTAGGTATAGAGGAATGCTCCCAGAAGGGTCTGTCCCCTCGCTGAGAGTGCTGTCATTCGTGAAAATAAGAGGGAAGGAGTTTCCGCATTGGATGAACAGCACAAAGGGAATGGATGTACAATTTAAAAAAATCTTCAGCTTTCATCGCTAAAGGACTCTCTGACTAACGGTTTCTAGGAATGCGCCTTTGGAATGCATTTTTTAAATCTTGTACAAAAAGGGTAGGAAGCAAAAATCTATTATTTTAAAAAGGTTATCAGTGACTATATCAAACGAACACCATCGTAACAGTAACTCAAAACAAATGGCACAATTGTTCCAGTTTCTGAAACCATAATAGCACAAAAATGTAGTTCTTTGAACGCATGAATGTTGACTCATCACCTGAGTATTATTTATTATAATTAATAATCATTAAAGTCAACTTCTTATTGATATACCCTCTGTTCTCAACAGTATACCCACATTGCTCTCCTTCATTTAGATAAACTTGCCTAAAACTCAGTTAAGAAGAAAAATCAGGGTGACTAGAACTCTTCCTCTTCTATCAGGAACCCAAACTCCAGAAAGAAACTTAAGGCCACACACCAAGTCTTAGGTAGCTGGAAATTATGGGCTGTGTAGAAAAGGATACCCCACGCCTGTCACCAGCACCACCTGGGTCCCTTGTGTTTTCCTGACGTGTGTGTGTGTGTGTGTGTGTGTGTGTGTGTGTGTGTGTGTGTGGTCAACAAAGGTTAACCAGGAAATACAGGGTCTTGTCAGCTTGACCTGGACCTGCTGTCAGGGGCAGTTCTTAAATCACGCAGCTGGCTGCCAGACCAAGCTGGATGCCAACAGGAAGACAACATAATGAAGCTAATTACTGACCCCACCATGGCTCTTGATTTGCCAGCCAGCGTTGGCTTACCTAGAGTCCCCTCATTGCATCAACCTCTGCCGGGGAGCTGCTACCCTCACAACCCCATTCCCAAAACCTGCCGTGACCCACAGAATTCCTGCTTGCACTGGATCAAGCAAAGACTGTTCTTGGTGGCTATAAATGTATGGCTAGATGATCTTTAAGCTGTAGAACTCAGTTTCTGATCTTAAAAAGGAATTTGATAATGTTTATAAACAAGATTCTTGGACATACAAATAATGAGCGCCTTTTAAAACGGAAGCACAAACACTGTAAATAAGGCAGTTCCTAGAGGAAGTCATTCATTCTGTTTTCTGAGAAGAGCAAAGCAGCAGAAATGAATAATTAGGAACACCAGCATTTTGGCACACAGGAGCCCAGCTTAGGTGGCATCCAATTCTGCCCACCCCATACAGCAGGGCACAGAAAGTGCAGGCCAAGTCTCCTTCTTACACCCCCTCTTGAGGATTGTGAGCAGATTCTTTCCAGCCTGCATGAAATACTAACAGGGGTGTCCCCACATGTCTCTACTGGAGTCTTTAGTGGACTATCCACTGAGTAAACTCTTCCCTGATGGAAAACATCAACACTGAAATGGACATCTTAAACAATTGCCTAGGGAGTATTACTTTACAAATACGTATTTTGGAAATTCCATGGATGTTATGGCTTAATTCATTACCTTTACCCATACACCTTCTCTTCTAGGTACATCTGGTAACTTCCACAACTTGTATAACAGACCTTGCTTGGTTGGCCCTATATGAAATACTATGTGGAAGCCTCACCTCAAATATACTTCCCCCCCAAAACCCCGTAATGGATGTTTGTAGTGTAGACACATGTTTGTAGTGTAGTTTGTAGTGTAGTCACATTATACATCTGGAAAACAAAAGCCCTTTTGCTTGTAGAACTTCACAATAGTGGAAGAGAAACCGGAGGCTAGCCTTCGACAATGGAACAGGGGGACAGGCAAGCTTCAGTCAAATATCATTAACAGCACAAACAAGAACAATAGCCCTCTAGGTTTAGGCAAAGAAAACAACATGGATATTGTGCTATCATTACATGAATTACACCACAAATAACAAGTCACAATTACGGCAATAACTCAGATCAGGTAGTGTTAATATGTGGGGGACCACACAGGTAGTGATGGCAAATTGTGCTTTTTCACATTATAACAAAGATGCAGAACCCAGAAAAGACAAGGGGACCTCTGAGAGAACCCATAGAAGCCTCTGATTCCAGCATCACAACTTCAAAGGGAAATAGCACAAGGGTGGAGTTAAAAGCATTTGCTTCCTCTTGTACCCTATAAACACCAGGGGGCTGCAAGCAAGTCCTGCAGGCTGAGTGCTGTCTACAGACTAGACCTGCTGGATCTAGGCTCCAGGCTGAGGCATATGAGGAGGGTCTGCATTCTGTCAGGGGTCAAGGGTTCAAGACATAGGTGTGTTTTTCTGTTCCAAGAATAAGAATGACAGGCCACCCAGGTAAGTTTTTATATTTGTGATAAGATGTTTTGCCCCAAACTCTTGTTTTGGTAAGATCATACTAGCCTAACTATAATCCCAGTTCTTCAGGGGTAAGACACATACAAAATATATTATCTATCACTCATGGTTACTTTGGTTGAAAATTTCAGTTCTTCTGGGACAAACTGGTAATCTCTTTTCAAATTTCAGAATTAAAAAGCTAACTAGATCTGTTTCTCAGAACTTCTTCACATTACCCAAGCCAGCCAGGGGATGCCAGCTTTTGGAAAAGTGCCAGTCACTGCCCAGGCCCCTGGGCACTTGTTCCAAAGATGTCCCTTCTAGCCTGTAGGCCTGCTGATCTAAGGGGATGGCTCCCATCCTCACACGGAGAACTGCCGAGAGGGACAGCAGAGGGGAGCCAGCAGAGTCCACAGGTATAACAGCACGCACACCCAGCAGGAGACCATCTTGATCCAGAAGATGGACCAGCTCCCGCTGAAGAAGGTTTCAATGTTGGCACTTTCATAGCTGTGGAAACAAGAGGTCCAGCTGTGGTCAGAGCAGGAAGAGAGCAGGTGGGGAGAAGTTCTCTTCCACTAAGAGAATGTGTCTCCCTGCTTTCACCCCTTCCAGCCTTTCATTTTTTTTCTTAGCAATTCAATTCAGATATAATCTACACCTATTTAAAGTATGCAATTCAAGGCTTGTAATGTGTTTATAAATGTTTGATTAATGCCCATAATCCTTAAAACACTCTCATCACCCCCAAAAGAAATTCTATACCCTTTAGTTGCTCTCCCCCACTCTCCTGCCACCGCTACCCCCCATCCCCAATAGCATTTACTAATTTTTCTGTCTCTGGATTTGGCTATTTCATATAAATGGATCATGTGGCCTCTTGTGACTTTTTCCACTTAGCATGTTTTTTGATGGTTTATCTGTGTTAGAGTATCAGCATTTCATCTGTTTTTATTGGAATATTCCATTGTTTAGGTATAAAGCACTTTTATAGTAATGGACATTTGTGTTGGGAGCCTGCTGCCAACTGTATAGAGAGCTTACTCTGTATAGAGAGTTTCAGGACATTAGAAGTTCTGCAAATAAAACTTCTTCCCAGAATTGACTCCTATTCTCTGAGGATGTGCTGGCTTCTGCACATGTTCCCTACTAACCAGAAAAACTTGTTTTCAGCAGTCACTTATTAATCTGTATAAGCAAAAACACAATGCGTGCTATTTTGTTGTTCCTTTGTTCATATCTTCAATAAAAGCTTGGGCTGGGAGAGTGAAAGGCAGAGCTGCTCTCGATGGCACTCTCCCTAGCCTCCCCCCATTGCAAATTCATTTAGACTCCAAGTCTTCATTAATGGCAGAGAACTTCATTGGCTGTCCTGTCTGCAGCACATTTGGGCTGTTTTACTTTTTGGTTATTGCATATTAGGCTGCTGTGAGCATCTATGTACAAGTTTTTGGATATATGTTGCTGCTGCATTTTTCTCCTGGGTATATACTTAGGAGTGGAATTACTGGAGCACATTATATCTCTATATTTTACATTTTGAAGCACTTCCCCACTTCTTCCCAAAGTGGTTGTACCATTTTACAATCCTGCCAGAACTGGAAGAGGGTTCCAATATCTCTTAATCTTCAGTAACATTTATATGACCTCTCTCTCTTTTTTTTTTTTTTTTTTAAATTCTAGTTCCCTCCATCCTTTCTGAAGTACCCAAGTCAAGGCATTCTAGGAAATCTCAAAGTGTGTTTCACTGAGAAGCTTTAGAAGCTATTTCCCGTCTTCTCCTCAGGATATTCAGGAAGAATCGCCTTCCTGGATCACTCTAAAACCACTGCCTGCCATCCTCAACCCCACTGCGCACTCTTCAGTGCCCTTCCTCATGTAGTGACAGGGGAAGTTAGGTCCATCATGTATTGTGAAATTAAAAAAAAAACTCAAGGGGGAAAACATGTAAGATCATATTTACATTTAAAAAAAATTTCAGAGGCTTAATACATAGAAAATGAATGCAAGGATATATGCCATATACTGTTAGCGTGGTCGGGGGGTGGGGTAATGTTACTCTTCATATTTCCACATTAGGTTTTTTTTACTATTCTGTTTGTTTTGTTTGTTTGTTTGTTTTTGTTTTTTTTTTTAAAGATTTATTTATTTATACAAGCACTGGGTACAGTCAGAAGCACGGGAGGGTGAGAGAATTCACCAGAGCCAGAGCGGGGAGCAGAGCAGGCAGAAGGACCGAAGTACACTGCTGAGGGGAGCAGCGGGCGGCAGGAGAGGTCTGCGCGCCATGTGGACCCTCCTCCGGTGGCCGGGGAGCAGCCGGGGATCGAACCGGTGCTGCAGAGGCTGCGGGCAGCTTCACAACCCAGCACTCAACCGCTGAGCCACAGGGGAGGCCCTAGGTTTTTTTTAATGTTAACTTTTATGTTGAAAATATTTTTTGAAAGGAGAAAAAGAAACAACATACAAAAAAAGGGATTTTTTCCTTTCTTAAAAGCAGTTCATTACATAAAAATGCTAAGATTTCCTTCATTACCATTTCTGTTCTTTTCAAATCTGCCTTAGAGTTAACCTTCCATTTTCTTAAAGTTGCAGTGGGCATCACCAATTCCCAGGGTTAAATGCAAGCCACAGACTACTAAGAACTCAGAAATTTTTCTGTAAAGGTTGTGAGGAAAGCAGGAGGTGGAGAAAGTCCAGTCAACTCCAGGAGTTTAGATCTGTGTCTCAACACTTTAGAGAACAGTACATGATTTTTCTAATGTCAAAGAAAACGGGAGACTCACTTGAACCAGTTGGTGACAGTCATCATCACATAGAGAGAAGCCAACAAGAACACAAAGTGGAAATAGGAGTAGCTGTAGACGGTGCCTTTCTTCTCGTCATAAATGATTCGTGGGCCCTCTTTCACATTCTGCTGCTCTTCGGTGTCTATGAACCACAAAACCAGTGCAGGCTCAGTGGGTAAGCAACACATATGCTTTTCACAAAGTCACACTCACTGATTTCAATGCCCGGGTTATTGAGTGGAAAAGATGTCCAAGCCATTTATAACCTCAGGCAATTTTCATCTATGTCATAAGCAAAAACCTCCCACCTTACCCCAAAACCTTCCTTAACAGGATGAATTACGTAACATCACATTAATTTGAACAGAGCAGAGAAAGAGAGGCCTTAAAAAAAAATAATTTCTAAGCACAGAAGAAAATGAGAGGGAGTAGCCCAAGAGTTCTCAAGTCACTGTTTCCCCAATCTGAGAAGAAAAGTTGAAAGAAAGAAACAGTCCAACAATGAGGTGTCAGGATCTCTTGGTATTATCCAGAGGAATTTTCATTCCTTTAAAACATGTACCTTCTGCTTTCCTAAATCTCACTGTGTAATTTAACTTAAATATGAGCCAAAATCTAGACTTATTGTCACCTGCCAGAAAAATCAACAAAAAGCCCAGCTATCTTTCAGGAAGAATATGAAAAGTATATAAACAGTTAACCAGCTTTGGAATAAAAATTTCCCCACATGATTCATGTTATTTGTGTCTGAATCCCAAATGCATGCAGATCAGTGCGCTCCAGGTCTGCAGGGCCCCAGAGACAGACAGAAGAAAAGTTGTCCACTTACCTTCTCCATCAGGGCCGAAACAAAAACAACACCGAGCTTTCTGGGAAGCAAAACCAACAAAGTCAAGGGTCTGCTTTCTGCTTTTCTCTCTCCACATTAGTAAAGCACTAAAGGCCACTTATGTGTCAACCCTCCCTGTCTGAACTGCATCCCAGGCCCTGAATTGCACACTTCATCCTTTCAGAAGGTTTGACTCAGCATCATTTCATCCCGATACCCTGGGGACAGGTGACCAGAAAGAAAGTGGACACGGAGTTGAGCCATCCAGAGCCCCTTCAAAGGCACGTGTACACACTGTGCTCTTGGCTACTGTGGGCAAGTGCTGCGAGCAGAGTCTCTAGACAGCAGCTCCTTGGCGTGGTCCCAGTGGCAGAGAGCCTACCTGCCCTGGAACAAGCCCTTCCTGGCAGTCCACAGGATTCACTGTTCCAGGCCCAGCCACTGACACCCTGGGGACAGCTCTGATGGGTCATACTGATCTGGAGTACCATGGGGATAGCAGGGGATTTGTCCAGCTTGCATGACCCTTGACTTGACCCTCTGCCCAGTTCTGCCTCCATCCCTGTCCTTTCTTCCATATATATTGATCTCTGCACATCAAACTCTGCCTCAGCATCTGCTTCTAGAGAATCTGACTGAAACACAAAGTGAACAAGACAAGCTCTTCGCCCTGCTCTACTCACTGCCTCATTCAATTATCTCCAATCTCTGCAGCTGGGATTATTATCCTGTTTATAGTTGAGGAAACTGAGGTCAAACAGGTTAATTAACTGAACCAAAATTATACAACAGCTTCGTGCCACAGCTGGGACACGAAGGGAGGAATGAAACTCCAAGGTCCACAATTCACAAGATTCTAAGAGGGGCCTCCCTGGTGGTGCAAGGGGTTAATTTTCAGCACTATGAAGCTATGGGCAGCCACTGTAGCATGAGTTGGATCCCCAGCCAGGGAGCTACCCACATGGCACAGCAGACCTCTCTTGTCTCGCCCGCTGCTCCCCTAGCAGTATATTTTGGTCCTTCTGCCTGTTCTGTTCCCCACTCTATCTCTGGTGAATCCTCTCATACCTCTATACCCCAGCTCTTGTATGCATAAATAAATCAATCTTTATTTTTTTAAAGATTGATTTATTTATGCACACAAGAACTGGGGTATAAGCCAGAGGTACGGGGGCAGGGAGAGGATTCACCAGAGACAGAGTGGGGAGCAGAACAGGCTACTACTAAAATATATTGCTGAGGGGAGCAGCAAGTGAGACAGGTGAGGTCTGCTACTCCCTGTGGGTTACCACCCTGGCCGGAGATCAAACTCATGCCACAGTGGCTGGTGATAGGTGAGATTTTAACCCCAGCACCAGCAGGGAAGCCCAATAAATAAATCTTAAAAAAAAAAAAAAAAAAGATTCTAAGGGGGCGTGGTGGAGTTGAAAGACTCAGAAACAACAAAGGTAAGGGATATGGACATGGGTGCCGAGGACAGGTGCTTCCCTTGGAAGAGTCTTTGGTGTCTCAAATTGTGTTTCTTATTTACTCAAAACGATAAACTTAATTTTAAAAACTCAGCTTATGAAAAATCAGTCTAGAAGGCCTCTGGTAAACAGAATAAGACACATTACATGTACCAAGACAATCTGGGAAATGCTGGGCCCTGGAGGCTTTGTCCCATTTATCCACTTCAAGGCCAAGGTCTCGTTTCCCTCCTGTATGGCAAGGAAACTGGTAAGAGAAGGATTAGCCTCGACAGAATCTTGGATCAAGTGACAGGTTCAGTGGGCCCAAGACATGGTATGCTGAGGAGTCTTCTTTCTTTTAAAGCTTAAGTTACTATAAGAAACAAGTCTCTCTTTCAAGGTGTATCCTGTGAAACATGATGCAACGAGAGCAGACTGACTTCCACTCCACATGCTCCCCAGTTCAGGAGGAAACACTGGGGCCATGGAATAAGGAAGAAAAACATCCTCTCTTAAGTCTAACTGAGAAACTTGCTGTTCTTTTGAGCTTTCACTGGGTACACAATAGGGATATTGAAACCATAACCATCCATCCTCAGCAGGTGGTCCCCTAGTCAGTGATGCGAACAAAGGCCTGCCTTCTAGAGACCATTCTCTTCTTTATAATAGGCAGTAACCTATTCAAACTTAGCACAGTTTTCTCTTTTTTAAGTGACAGAAAGACCTGGTGAGTGGTGCTGGCAGACTGACAAGCCTTCATAATTATTCCCTATCTCCAGGTCAGGTGCAGGAAAGACCATCCCCAGAGGCCCAGCTGCAGAGTGAAGTGCCTGTATCTGGACAGACACCAGGGCTCTTCCATCAAGTGAGAGCCAGTAGAATGCAGCAGGGGCCGAATGCCAGGCAGGGTCAGCAGCAGGGCCCGGACACAGTGGCTGAACTCTTGGGCAGCAGTGGCTGGGAACAGACTCTGGAGACAGAATGCAGCTTAACTGCCAGCAAATTGAAATCTGCAGGATTTAAGTGACTTAACTTTTACAGAGAATCCCTCTGTAAAATGGAGTTCAAACTCTCACTGGGGTTTTATGAGGATTAAATGAAATCACATGGAGAGCTTAGAACAGTGCCTGGCACATGGCAAGAGCTGTAAGGCTTAGCCACCACTGGAAGTGCCTTCGTCTGATTAGACCTTCTTTGACCTCGGTGGACATTCTATGGAGGACGCTGCACCAGTAAGAAAATAACAAACATTCTGCAGGTGTATAGGCAACTGCTAACCACAGCGATTCTCTGGGCACCTAGAGTTCACCATTCCTTTCCCAATGAAACAGCCACCTGAGGGAACTGATGCAGTAAGTAGGCTCAAGTATAGACAGAGCAGAGGCTTATCTCACTCTTCCTTGCCTATCTCTTCTCCTTCAGAACAGCCATTATATAACCCCATGGTCGTGCTATGTCCGGAGGGCACAGATAGGTATGTAAGATGAAGGAATGGACTAGAAGCTTAAAAAGGAACCATACATGCCCCGGTATAACAGGAAAAGAGCAGGGGGGCAGCGTGACAAAGCCACCCAGGCCTCTGGCGGGAGGTGGGCAGCAGGATGCCATTCTGGGGGCCAATTCTGTTAGAGGAAAATCAAGAATCAATTGATTACTTTTAAACCCATGGAATACACAGGACATTTCCCTTTCTGTGCGAAAATCTCATCCTTCTGTCCCAAGAAGAAAAATGGGACTAAAAAAGATGCAAATAAACAAAAATTCTTCCTGAAAAAAGGGCCTTCTGAGCTGAGGCAGAACAAGAAGAGGATATGAACTTACCTCCACGTCAGTAGCTGCATAGCGCCCCTGCAGAGCATCAGAACTTGATCTTGTTGTTGATGTGAGACTAAAAAACAAAGGAAAAGGTCAGCAGGGCATATTAATGTGGTATGTCACATCCCAGGAAGGGGAGAGTTCCCTGGACAACGCCACAGCCAGAGGCTCTGTGTAACCAACAATTCTGACACTGTAAGTAAACTAGCTTATATTCCAAATTTGGCCAACCAGTTATTCTACAGTTGATGCCCAAATTGAGTAGGTTATGCAGATCATTTATTTGCAAAGACTGAAGGTAAGGAAATAAGTTGCCTATCGCCCATTGTCCTTGTTTTCACTTCTCCTCCCTCAAATGCCAAAATAATTTTCTGATTGAACTTTTATTGTTGACTAGTCTCACTTAGAAGGTAATGAAAGAGGGCCTCCCGGGTGGCGCAACGGTTGAGCACTGGGTTGCAAAGCTCCCCGCGGCCTCTGCAGCGCCGGTTCGATCCCCGGCTGCTCCCCAACCACCGGAGGAGGGTCCCACATGGCGCACAGACCTCTCCTGCCGCCAGCTGCTCCCCTCAGCAGTGTACTTCAGTCCTTCTGCCTATTCTGCTCCCCGCTCTGGCTCTGGTGAATTCTCTCACCCTCCCGCGCTTCTGACTGTACCCAGTGCATGTATAAACAAACAAATAAAAATAAACAAATAAAAATACATGCCTCTTTAAAAAAAAAAAAAAGAAGGTAATGAAAGCAATGAAGAATCCAGAGCCCCAGTAAAAAGCAAGGGTACAGATAGCAAAAGGCAATTATTTCTGCCTGTAGCAGGACAAGGGTTTCTGTTTGGAAATTCAACACAGAAGAGGTGTCAGTGTAAGCTGCCACTTTCCCCAGACCTAAAGAGGTAAAATGCTACAAGATTTGGTTTAGGGAAGTAAAAATGGTATTTATCTTTCCTGGGGGGGAAAGAAAAAGGTGCATTTTAAGGGAAGATAAATACATACAATACTTAGGGTTCCAGCTAACTCCAAATTTTTTTTAGCAAATACTGACTGGAAGATTGCCACATGCTGAAAGCACTCGGACTCAGCAGAAGACACTAGTCCTACCCGAGTGCATCTTCAGTGCTGGCCTGGAGTGGGCGGCATGCTGGGGAGGGGAGAGGCAGAAATGAATACTTGCTTCAACCAGAAAAACCACCTGAGATAACAGCCCCTCTGCTCACTCTTCTCCCCTTTCCCAAGCACAGAAGAGATCAATGAGATGCAAATAAACAATAAAAAGCCTTCCTCACAGAAAGCTCCTCTGGGAGCCAAGCACATTGCCTCTTTTGTGGGCCAGTCAAACCTAACAACATCACTCTCATTTCTGCTTGGAACAGGAGGGTGCTTGCTCCTCCTCGGGCCACTCAGCTTCCACTTCCAGGCTTTGAGCCTGGTCTGAGGAATAGCAGAAACATTTCCCAATGACTGTGCACCCAAGTAATACACACTTTGTTTCTGTATTTAACAGTGTGTTACATCTTGTACACATGAATCATGACCTAATACAGTATATAGGTTCCATACTGGAGAATGCAACTTTTAATTTTGGTTAAAGAACCATATTGCACTTTACCAATTCTTTGGAATAAAAATGATTTCAGAAAAACAAAAATTGATTCTGGCACCTTTACCACTTCACTCCCATCATTGAAGAACAGTAGCCAGGGAAGTTTTTGTTCTTATTTCTAGAAATAACTATATTCAGTTCATCATTTGTGAAGTGTGATTTCTCAAGTAGATGCTACCAGAAAATAAGGTTTATATTCAGGTCATAGTCTTTTTTTTTTTTTTTTTTTTTTTTTAAGATTTATTTATTTATTTATACAAGCACTGGGTATAGTGAGAAGCGCGGGAGGGTGAGAGAATTCACCAGAGCCAGAGCGGGGAACAGAACATGCAGACTGACGAAATACACTGCTGAGGGGAGCAGCGGGCAGCAGGAGAGGTCTGCACACCATGTGGGACCCTCGCCAGCGGCCGGGGATCGAACCAGCGCTGCAGAGGCTGCAGGCGGCTTCACAGTCCAGCACTCAATTGCTGCGCCACCAGGGAGGCCCTCAGGTCATAGTCTTTACCCCCAAAAACACTCTTCTTGAAATTACTAAAAAATATTGTTTTTACTAGCACTCTAAAGCCTAGAAGGTCTTATTTTCTGCAGTCTGGCCATTACTAAGACTATCTGTTTATTCAGTGCAAGACAAACTGCTTCAGGGCTAACTAGTGACTTTAAGCCAGTACTTCCTGTGGGTGAAAGGAGACTGACAGCATTTGATTGAAACAAAGCTTCACCACCACCCATGCATAATGCAGCGCAGTATGTTTACTATCTCTGCTCCTCACCTCAAGCCAATATGTCTGGCAATTGCGACAATCAAAAAAATGTCTCCCCCGCCCCCTTTCAGGAAGCACAGTCATACCCAGAACCTCTTCCATATTGGCAGAATGATTTAGAAAGCAGGGAGCCCTCTGTACTTGCTTCAGATGTTTCTGGAGCTGTGAGACTCTCCTAGGTTGCAGAAAATCTCAATTCTGCCCCCCTGCAAATGTGCAGGGTAGGTCCTGAGAGATGGCATACTATCCCCACTTTCATGTGATAAAGCTCAGTGATATTCCCACTGTGTTATATAATTGGTGACTCCTAACTCCCTAAGGAGACCAGAGGCTGGGAACTGGGAGGAGACCATAACGCGCCCCATGATGCATAGTCAGGAAGATTTCAGATGGTAGGTTAAGGAGCAGCAGGATTCCCAAAATAAAGATACAAACTACACCCTCTACCCTTTTTTCTTAAATAAAAGTAATAGGCCCCAAACACGCTCAAATAGATACCTCTCCCTGATTTGTCAGTGTTACTCAGTTTAAGCCAATCTTCTCTACAGTGCCATTTTACCAACCCTGTACTTATGTCAATAAGGTTTGCCATATTGTTGTGACTGTCCAACATTGTCCAACATCAGGACATTAAATATTCTTCATTTTCCCAATTTTGTATTTACCTTCCTAAACAGCTTAAACTTCAACTATTATTTTCTCTCTTAAATGCCTCTTAAGGGTTCTCCCTGGTGGCACAAAGGGTAGTCTCAGCACTATCAAGCTATTGGCAGCCACTGCACTACTAGTTCGATCTCCAGCCAGAGAGCCAACCCACATGGCACAACATACCTCTCCCATCTCACCCGCTGCTCCCCTTAGTAGTTTATTTCAGTCAATCCACCTATTCTGCTCCCCACTCTGTCTCTGGTGAATCCTCTCACCACCACCCCCCAATACCTCTGGCCTACACCCCAGCTCCCCAGCTCTTTTATGCATAAATAAAATATTTTTTAAAAATTCCTCCTAATAATATAATTAGACAAGTCATCCAGCTTATCCTTTTTCAAAAAAGATTTATGTATGTATGTATGTATGTATGTATGTATGTATGCATGCCTAGAGGAACTGGGGTGTAGGCCATAGGTGCAGGGAATGAGAGGATTCACCAGAGACAGAGCGGGGAGCTGAACAGTCAGATCTACTGAAGTACACTGCTGAGGGGAGCAGCAGGTGAGACAGAAGAGGTCTGCTGCACCATATGAGGATTAGCTCCCTGGTTGGGGACTGAACTCAGGCCACAGAGGTGATAGTGGATAGTAATGAGACTTAACCACTATGCCACCAGGGAGGCCCCCCAGATTTCCCTTCTGCCTCAGTGAAGAGCAGGCCTCAGTCCAAGCCATGCCAGGGAGGAAGAAAAAAACAATTATGAACCTGTCTCTCTAAACAATCAGCAAAGGAGACTCAAGTTTCCTGAAACGGGTCAGAGCAAAAGAAATAAGCACCGTGCCTCAGTTTCCTTTTATGTACAATGTGGAAATTGAACTTGATCAACTCCAGGATCCTGTCCAGTCTGACAGTTTGAACTTGAAGTCAATAGAATAACAATATCAACAAAATCCAGACACCCAAGGAGGAAATGGAGGAAAAGTGTAGGGGAGGGGAAGTAATCACAGCAAGATTCCAGGCCTAAGAAAGTGTGGGAGATAAGAATGTGACATCATGAAACTCCTGCGTGGGGCCCCCAAGTTGTGTGTGACACTTCACAGTAACAGTGCTGGGTGCAGAAGGTGCTTCTGGAGAAGCCTTAGTGGGAGAGCTGGAGAGGAAGGTGCGAGAGTGGATTTTGTCAGGGCCCTTTTTCCCAGTTGAGACAGCAAAGAGTAAAACATAATCACAGTGAGTGCTCAGAAGCAGGACTCAAGACAGAGAACCAGAAACTGAGGATGGGGTCATCACGACAGCTCCCAAAGTGTGAGTTTTCTGTGACCTTACCAAAAAAGTCAGCTACAGGCAATCTCAGACTTTCATTGAAAATAGGCAACTTCAAAAAAAAAGAAAGGAAAAAATGGGCAACTTCTTCTCTTAACATACACACCAAGTCTTTCAACTTCTTAACATTTTTTTTTTTTAAGATTTATTTATTCATGCATATGAGAACAGGTACAGGACAGATGTGCAGGAGGGTGAGAGGATTTGCCAGAGACAGAGCAAGGAGCAGAACAGGCAGACTGACTGAAATACATTGCTGAAGGGAGCAGCAGGAGAGACAGGAGAAGTCTGACGCACCATGTGGGTATCTCCCCGGCCGGCCAGGATCAAACTCGTGCTACATAGGCTGCGCGCAAATGCACTCAACGGCCTGCGCCACCAGGGAAGTTCAGCTTCTTAAAATTTCTATTGGGAATTCTAGACAGTCCAGCAACTGTATTCATCTTACAGCTCTATCCAGTCTCTTTTTGTGTTATCTTACAAACTTTCATTTTTCAGTGCATGGGAGGAAAATGTAAACTCTCAGTAGTCAAAATGGGAAAATTCTTAATTGGGTCACCTCCAGCTTCTAGCAGTGTTCCCCTTTCACAAGGCTCTGCTTGGTCTGAACTCACTTCTCTATAAGCTCCAAGCTTGTCCATTTATCAAGTTCTCAGAGCCAACCCCTCCCGCCTTGGGTAATTACAGCAAACACTAATCACCCAGACCTTGGTGCTCTATTCCCTCCTGGGATGGAGCCACTGCCTGTCCCCAGGGAGCATGTACATGGCGTGGGTTACACAAATACCCCCAGAGTCAACTGGCTCCTCTGTCTCCACGAGGGAGGCTGATGTTTTCCATCTCCATTCCACTGGGCACTCTGTTTCTGCAGTTCAATTACGAATGCTCAGTAACTTTTGTTATTGGTTTGGACAGATTTCAAGCAGCAGCTGTCAACTTTGAAAATTGTTATCTTTGGGAAATATCAGAGCATATCACATCAACTTCCATGATGGTGCCTCTAAATACAGGGAGAGGTGATGTTTTATTTATCCTCTCTCACTCAAGGGCGACAATGAAAATCTGACAGTGAAAATTCCATGCAGCAAAGTAACACCATTAGCGGAATTCTGGCAGCACACTAAATAGAATTTTGGCCACTTTTTCTGATAATGGGCTTATAGAAATCCAAGCCCTATATTTTATATGTGGGGCAAACATTTTTTTTTTCTCAGGTGTGATTAGGTATCCAGCAACCCACAGGACATGATTTTATTCTGTTAAATATCTTCAGAGATATTCTGACAAATAACAAACAAAAGAAATGCAAGCTCACTCCAAAAAAAAAATTAAGGAAAAAACCAGAACAAAAGAAAACAATGTTATCCCTAATAGCACCACTATTCCAAATTTGGTTTATCTCCATCTGGAATTTTATGTATGTTTTATTTTATATATGGAATATTCCACACTCATAGTATAGTAACCTACTTTCTCATGATTTTTCAATGTTTTTTACATGCCATTACAGAAAAAAACTGAGAGACAAATCCTGAAATTAGTTGTGTTACTGTCATTTCTCCCCCAAAGTTCAAAAATAAAATAAGACTCAGGAAGGAAACGCTTACTCAAGAAAGAACTGACAATCAGGATTCAAAATGTGGGTTTTTCTGGAAACACATTGACTTGGGCCTGAATCCCAATCACTGTTTTGTAGATAACAGGTATTCAATGAACAAAAATGGAAATAAAACAAATTAAAGGTCAGAAAATGGAAACCCTGGTGCAATAAGATTCTATGTCCCAGACAGACTGGGAGCCCATGTTACATATCCATCAGCCTAACAACCACCTGCACAAGCAAGCATTCTGTGGCTTGTTGCATAACTCCAAACAAGTACTTTATAAAGTTCATTTCTCCAGTCTATAACGTGCCTGTGTCTGATAGTCCCTATCCAGCAATACAGGGTGTTAGAAGAAAGAAGAGAACATGCCAGCTTGTTCAGAAAGACAGATGATTTATGTAAGGCTACCACCACCAGGATTATTTACTTTCAGACAAAGGAAGATTGTAACCTCTATGATATGCTGAAATTTTTATACCCTGAAACATAACAAATAAAATGTAAAACACAAAAGGAAAACTTTGTGTTTTATTAACAATGAAATGTGAACAATTAGAAACATTTCTCTTCTTTACTTTTCTCCCTCTAGCAATCTTGGAAGCATTTTAAAGGTGGAACAGCCCCACCACAAGCCTCTGAAATACTGACTAATGCTAATCTGGTATCACCACCTTAACAGCATTGTGGGTTTTAGCATAAAAGAAGAGGGCCGCTTCCTGTCTTTCTTGGACCAAGCACAGGATGACTGTGTATGCAGTGCTTTGTACTCTTTCCATCAACAGCAGGACAAATGGTATTTCCCTTGGATTAGAAAGTTGCCTAAACATTCTTGCACATACTCTCTTCCTCACTTTGTGCTCCCTCGCCCTCCAAAAATGCTTTGGCAATTAATATTCAATCATCTTTTAAAGGGCTGACACAGCATATGTTTCTCTACCACATATAAATACAAGGAAGGCAAATGAAGGCCAAACACCTCGATTTCAAGCTGTCATATTGCCTTTTTCCCCTGAGCTATTTTCCCTCTTCCTCAGATGGCATTTGTTTTGTTGCTTCACAGCTGGGAAACTCACATAAATTCTTCTGTAGACTCTGCAGGCTTTTGAAGCCTGCAAAGATGACCTCAAGTAACTCCTAAGACTTACCATGAATATAGGATGCACCCAAACAAGACAGCGGTTCCCAGTCCAGTAACTAAGTTTTTATCTCTGTACAGGTCCTGACCGAAGTCAGGCACACAGATGGTAATGTTCTTCCCATGTTCATCTAGAACTTGAAAAGAAAAGCAATTCAGAAAAGCTTGTTGTAACTCACAGACTTTCATTCTGGGAAAATTCAGGGGGCTTAGAATAATGAAGACTTCTCATTGGAAACTTCAAAGTCTACAGTCTGACTCAACTCAGACTAGATTATTGCTTTCTCAAAGCACCCTTTCCCCACTCGGCACCCTCTTAGAAAAAGAGCGTAGATGCCAGCTTAGTGTTAAACGGTTCTTCAGCTCTAGTACCTTGAAAGAGTTGTTCTTTTGCAGTACTATTCAAACAATATTAAAAGGTAAACTTAAATGCATTTTCCAACTGATATGGCAATATCTGAGCAAAGACACTGCGCAGGTAATTGGTATGCAGACAACTGAGTACTTCCACCATGTCCATGCTCTCGGAGTGCTGAGGCTGCTCAACAAGCAAACACACACCAGCACTGCTTAGGGGTCTGGCCAAGAGGAACATCACTCTCTTCCCCTTGTTCTTGGGAGAGCTCTCCCAGAGGGGTCCGTTCCTCAACATTTTCTTTTTAAAGGAAAATATCTATCTTGCTTCTTTCTATTGATCAGGTCTGTAAATGTATATTAAAAAATCAGAGTGGATTCATAAACAGAATAGCTGATTTGAAGATAAGGTCTTTCCTTATCAATACTGTGGCAAGTATTAATTCTATTAATTCTACTATTTATTGATTCTATTATTAATTACTACTGAACACAAAAGCCTTGTGTAGGGGATGGTGTCAACATTTACATCATTTTGTTCACTGAATTTAGTGGATGTGACTGTTCAATAGTTATTGAATCATGATGTAAAGAAATGTGATGGTATTCATGTATGTGCTTTCTGAATGTTTCAAATTATAATGCATGAGCACTGCTGATACTGCAGGAAAGAATAAAATAACCTGTGCAAAGATAGGGGAAATAACAGTCTGTAACTTGGGGACAAGCTGAGGTGGTACGGATTTTAAAACATTTTTGAGAGGTTACAAAACAAGGACTTCTAAAATATTATCATCAATGGTAATTTATTTTTTATCTTTGATTTTATTTTTTTATTTTTTTTAAATAATAAATTTTATTTCTATATTCCCCATACAATTGCAACCCCCCATTCTGACCCCAATCCCTCCCCTCCAGCCCTATCTTTGATTTTAAACATCAAGCTATATGCAATTGCCAACTTTGCCCAGAACATAAAATAACAATCTAGAAACCATTTTACAAGCATGCACATTCTAAGTGTTTCAAGTTAGACTAAAATTATTACAGGTCCTGACATTTGAAACAGTAACCATAACTGTATGGTATGGTTTAGGAAATCTTTTTCTTAGACCAATGGAAAAAAATATTTTTTTAACTGACCGAAATATGAAAATTTTCTATTTAAGTAGTATCTCCTGAAATTAAAAACAAGGTTTTTAAAAAATTTTTGAGTGATACCTATCATTAAGAAGAGGAATACTGTCACCAAAAATCCCATTAAGTTAAAGCCAAAGATTAATACCTAAATAGTTATATTTTTAAGATCTTAAAAGAAGCTAAATTTAAATAAATGTAAAGTTAAGATAGCACTTCCTTAAAAAAAGTGAAATCCCGGATAGACTACACTTAGTAAGACCTACAATTATGTAACTTTTACTAAATTGTTATAAAGACAAAAGTTATACATAGTACATGTATATGCAAAAACTTACAAAATTACCATTGCATTTACTTTCTAAACTCAAAAAAAAACCCTTCTATTTTCTAGAGAAGAGAGAACATTTATTTAATTTGATTTATACAAGATCAAATTTACCCAAACATATACACTATGTGTGTGTTAATACATTTATACACACATTTTATATTATCACAAAAGTTATAGAGATAATGAAATATAAGGAGTTTGGAAATCAAAATAAGAAAATTTTGTCTTTTACTGGCAACGTTGAGCAACTTTAATGTAATAACAACTTACAGCAATAATAGAATTTTCATAGGTCTCAAATAATCATTGTTAACTACTCTACAAAATCTTTATGTAACACCTGCTACATGCCAGAAATTGCACACATGTATACAAACACACACATAGTCAACTGAATTCTTAGAAGTCACCCTATAAAAAACTGGACTCTTAATTTAGTTGTCTTGTTAAAATTCTTTATTTTAAAGAGGGGATAAGTAAATTTTGCACAAGTTACTTAAGTGGCCAAATTAGGCTGTAAACCCCGGCAGTCCAATTCCAAAGCTCATGTTTCATAAATGTCATTTAAGAGAAAAGAGTAGATTAATAATTAGTTAAAAACCAAAATGAGATAAAGCAAAACAACTGTGCTTCTTGAAAACAGAGCAGGAAATGCAGATTGGGCTTAGGAACCCACTTTTGCTTCCTACCCAGCAGGATGATTCAAAGTAGGAATTTTCACTTTCACACCCCATGAAATTGAATGAAAAGGTCTCTCTATTTTGATTTTTGGCATCCCAGATATTTAAACAATGGTGACATGTTCCTTCTTCCACAAATGAAAATACTCAGGTGTAAACACCTGAGTTGCTCCCCAACAAGGCTGGCTTACCTACTTCCACAGGTTTGCTGGAGAGAGCTGAGAAGGTGAGATAGGTGACATAGCAGCTTATGAGACCTGACTGCAGTAACCCAGAGTTTGGCTGTCCTGAAAAGTGACAAGTGACAGATTTTAAGACAGTATTTTACATTTCAACAAAAAGTACATGCAAAAAAAAAAAAAAAAAGTCTCTCACTCCCAAATGATATCTTTCTAATTTAGCTGACAACCACCCCCCCACCACAACTTCAAAGGAAAGAAGAGTTACTGAGGGGAAAGGAGCCCTACAATGCTTCTAAACTGCTATTTTAGAGATAGCCAGTCCTCTATTAACACTTCGTTTTGACAACTAGGAATGTACTTAAACATCTTTCTAGCTCCCCTGAGGTCCATCAACACTAGTTCTTAAACCACATGATCTCAGAAGAAAATTTACCATCATTATTTGTGAGACCACACATCTTAGTGGGATAAATAAGACTTACAGACTTTGCAAGGCCATCAGACAGAATATAAGGGGAGAAAGTTCTTATCTGTCAATGGACAAAAAAACCTTTGTGTGGGAGCTTGGATTACTCTGTGTCTTTGCCTTGACTCTTCTCTGCCCTTCACCCAGAGTACAAACAGAGAAAGTTTGAGACAAGGAACCTTTCAGGGCAAAAGTCCTGGTAGGAGGATACATGCATATGCTGAAAACATCAATAGATACTAGGCTTAAATCAGCTATAACCCTGAGGCCTCCCTTGATTCTCCCCCCACCCCCATCTCCCACACATTAACAAATTCCAGCAGATCTTCTTACTTCTTTGACTTTTTATCTTCCACTTGATTCTAAATAAATACTAGACTGTATTTGTTCCTTAAGGGAGTATTCTTGGTGTAGCCCCTCTAGGCTTTTCATTGTTCCAACTCACTTGGACTCTGAGTAATTTTTTCTCAACTCTCGCCATGTGCCAACATCAGAGCCAGTCCAAGCCAAAGAGGAAGGCTATGGGGGCTCAGGATTCACTGGGAGAAGGGCCTTAGGGTCCTAATACTTAAACTTAGTGGTTGTGGGGGCCTCCCCGGTGGCGCAGCGGTTGAGCGCTGGGTTGCGAAGCTGCGTGCGGCCTCTGCGGCGCCGGTTCGATCCCCGGCTGCTCCCCGGCCACCGGAGGAGGGTCCCACATGGCGCGCAGACCTCTCCTGCCGCCCGCTGCTCCCCTCAGCAGTGTACTTCGGTCCTTCTGCCTGCTCTGCTCCCCGCTCTGGCTCTCGTGAATTCTCTCGCCCTCCCGCGCTTCTGACTGTACCCAGTGCATGTATAAACAAAAACAAACAAAGAAACCAGCAAACAAATAAATAAAGCATGCCTCTATATAAAAAAAAAAAATAAAATAAACTTAGTGGTTGCATTACTGTGACCTGAATGGGATAAGAGGGGCAAATTTTAGGCCACCCACTGACACAAATGGATTCAGTTTTACCCATTCTACCATCTGATCAAATATTTCCAGAATTATTATTAAATTATAATAACCAAAAGAGGTACAGAAATAGACCCTGCTTGTTAGCATGGGAATAAGAATTACCTTAGTAATGAATGGCATTAAACCAAGTATTTAAAAATATTATAACTATTTCAAAAGAAAAAATTTAACTCAAAGGATAATTTAATCAGAATACTAACATTGTTTTGGGAAATTCTTAACTGGCCAATGAAAGAGAATGGAAGAACAGTACTCTCAATTTCAATAATGGACTTGACATTCTAAATACAAAAAAAAACTTTTAAATTACTCAAGAGTTGTTGCTTTTTAAAATCATTTTAGAAGAACTCAAAGGCTATAAAATTATCAGCCATATTTTCTTTTTCCTCTGTGGAAACCTGAACGTCGTGTACCTACAAGAAACATAATCAAAGAGAACATAATGGCTTAAGATATCATAAGTCATTTATGAAAGACAATTCAAATCTCTACTTTCCAAAGCATTTAAGTTCCATCATCTCTTCCTCTTGCCTTTGAAACAAGCATAAAAGTCTGGCTCACAGGTTTCTGTTGGCTTTACTGCAGAATGATTTGGGTCTGAGGAAGGTTAGCACACATAGTCAGTTGCTGGCTGAGAAGCGACCAGATTTTCTGCCTTCTGCCTCCCTAGACCACACTGTCCCTGAGTTCTGGCCCATAGGCACTGAATGAAAGATGACCCAGATACAATTATGGGGTGGGGGGGAGAAAAAAACAGGGTATTTTCCATTTAGAGCCTCCTTGTAGTATCTTATTTAATCATGTAGTACCTTATTTAATTTATTTAACATCTTTCTTCCTATTATTAACTTTGTTATATTCAGACCTTTCTTTTTTTTTAACACACATAGAAGAACTGGAGTGTAGGCCAGAGGTGCAGGGGGTGAGAGGATTCACCAGAGACAGAGTGAGGAGCAGAACAGGAGGATTTACTGAAATACACTGCTAAGGGGAGCATAGGACAAGGCAGGAGAGGTCTGCTGCACCATATGTGGCTTAGCTCCCTGGCCAGGGACAGAACTCAGGCCATAGTGGTGATAGCACGGAGACTTAACCCCTAGGCCACCAGGGAGGCCCATGCTCAGATTCTTTCTTGACAAGGCACGTCTATCACATCCAGCGCAGGTGTGGGAAAGAAGAGGAAACTGGAGTTCCCCCTTTTCTATTGCTGACTCATTCATGTTAAGTTAAGGAATGACCATAGTTAAAAAAGAAAAAGCGCACAGGGTTTGCTCAAAGACACAAGGAAGAATGGAAAAAAAACCTGCTGCTTACGGTTTTGGACCCCGGGTAAGATGGCTACCAGTGATATAAGCAGACACAGCCCTCCATTTACTCCCAGGAGAATTTTGTTTTCTGTGCAGCCATCTCTCTGTGTATAAAACACTGCCATCAAAATCAAACCTCCGGTGGCAACAGAGTACATGACGAGGGTCACCAGGGCCAGAGCGGCGAACCACAGCTTGTTGGTCTTTGTGCCTGCAGTCCTGTTTCTCCAGGAAGTGGGAAAGAGGGAGGCAAGAGAAGACAAGTCAGTGACCTCTGACAACATTTAGCATTCCTCAGGCATTCACAAATGCTCTCTGGACTCAAAAGACCTATCATCTTACCAAGATTGTAGCTTTTCCAAAACTAGAAGGTTTGCGTAAATTTGCAAAAACTTCTTGGTTTAAGCTGATTTTTTTTTTACACACAATAAATTCCATCTTTGATTCAAGTGTGTTCACCAACCTAAGTGATATCCACAGACTTCATTCTAGCTTCTTCATTCTGTATTTGAACTAACTTAGGACAGGTTTTGGCAGGGTTAATAAATGGTTCCTTGCAGGAGTTCTCTTCCTGTTTTTCTGTAAACACAGAGCCTGGAGGTGGCAGCCTTAATCCTGCTGCTACCCCATTTCTCTTTAGAGAGAGAAGCAAATGGACTTCCTTCACCCAAAGAGAGACAGCCTTGTATCCATGCATTGAAGAGAAAGCTCGGTGCTAATACTGCTTCCTAAAACAATGCCAAATGATGATTAAGGGGGAATTTGAGTGGAGAGGGGCCTCCCTGGTGGTGCAGGGGTTAACACTATCAAGATATTGCCAGCCACTGCAGCGTGAGTTCGATCCCCAACCTGGATGCTACTACCCACATGGCGCAGCAGACCCCTCCTTTCTCACCCACTGCTCCCCTCAGCAGTGTACTTCAGTAGATCTGCCTGTTCTACTCCCCACTCTGTCTCTGGTGAATCCTCTCACCAGAGGACTGGCCTACACCCCAGTTCTTATATGCATAAATAAATAAAATAAATCTTAAAAAAAAAGTGGAGAGTGAAATTAGTAGGAAAAGAATAAAAATCATAATGGAATTTACAAAAACAAACTTAGAGGTGAATGTGCTTTCTAATATTAATAAAAGGAGGGGAGAAATAATGGTGGTTTAATGATCTATAGAAATTGTTCAGAACAAAGAAGAGAGTGTTTATAAATGTCAAATGAAGAGGACAGAACAACAATTGCGGGGGAGGGGTGTGGAGTGCATCACTGTCATCTGCCTAATGATTAAATTGTCCTTTGTAACCACATTCTCATAAACCTCTACAGAGAAAGCAACTTTGCTTAATGGTTCCAAAAAACTGGAAAGTGTTCCAGCTAAAATGTTTTAATGGTGAAAAAGTTACTGCAGCCAGAAACAAAGAAATTAGAGAGGAAAGGCCAAAATGATAATGACCATCATATTCCTGAAACTGAGCCAGGCACTTCCCTCCGATGGCCACAGAATTATTCTGACATAAACAGGCACACAAAGGAAACAGAGAAAATGAGATCCAAGAAAGGAGGGAAAATGAAACTCATGAAAATGAGACTCAAGGCAGGGAGGGAAAAAGGAGCCAAATAATAATCAATGACAGGAAGCCAGATGAATTATTACACAGAAACCAGCAAACACACTGACTGGTATGTGGGTGGGGTCTAATTGTTTCTTCACTAGTCTTCTAGGTTATGTCATTAGTTTATGAAAGACTTCCATATAGTTAATTTACATTTCTATCCCAAGTTAAATCTTGAAGTCTCATCTCTGCCCTAAACTCCGGATTCACATTATCCAACTGTTTGACATTGGAGGTCTAATTGGCATGCCAAACTAAGCAAGTCCTAACTTGCTAATATCTGAACCTCCATGTCTCTGACCTATACTCATTACCTTCCCAGCCTCAGAAAATGGCCATTCCTTGTGTGTCTGTGTGCGTGTGTGTGTGTGTGTGTGTGTGTGTGTGTGTGTCAGAAGAGAGAGAGAGAGAATGTTGTGGGGGTGGGGGAACTATAGTTGCTCTTGATTGCTGACTCTCTCCCTGCTGCTCTCCTCCCACAGACACACCATCACTACCAGCAAATTCCAACTTCAGAATATACCAGAACCTGACTGCTGCTATACCATATAACCCAACTACCTAGTCTCTAGCCTGAATTATCCCCACTGGTTTTTCCTGCACCTCTGGCTCCCTCTGAGCTTGGACTTAAAATAGACATTTTGATGATATTCCTGTGTCAAACCCTCTGGTACCCTTCCCATTCATGACCTGGCTCAGCGCCAACTCTGATTTCGTCTCCTGCACCGTTCCCTCACCCCTGGGGTCCAGCCACAGTAGATGCCCCTTTGCTCCTTATACAAGCCCACTGCACGCACAGTACAGTCCTCTCTCAAACTCAACTTTTTTTCCTCTCACATCTTACAACGACGCCTTTTCCTGTTCTGCTCCCTAATGCTGCTTTCTTGTTCTCCAGAGCATTTTTCACCATTGAACCTATTGCTTATTTGCTTGGCCATATGATGATCATCTGTCTCCTCTTGCCCCTCCCCAGGAGGATGTAAGCACCACCGAGCAGGACATATACCAGTACAAGGATCCTTGACTGTTGAAAACCACCTTTAGCAGCAATGTTAGCAGACTGGCTGCTACTCCTGCTGTGCCAAATTCCTTTACTCTTCCTGATGACAACTTGATTTTGCAAACACAACTTTTTTTTTTTTAAGAAAAATCAGCATTTAATTTTGGACAATTTTTTTTTTACTCTGAATTAGACATTTTTCATTTTGCAAAATAACATTACATTTTATCTGTAGAATATTTTATTTTTTTATTATAAATTTTATTTTTATATTCCCCATACAATTACAACCCCCTTATTTTGACCCCAATCCCTCCCCTCCCCGCCCCCCATAGAGTGTCTCTGGATCATAGTTGTTTGTTGATTTTGATTTTTACTTTCTTAGAGTTATTCTTTTTCCTGGTCCCTTATTTAGGTTTTCTAGATTCCTGCTATGAGTGAGATCATCCGGTATTTTTCTTTTTCTTTCTGGCTTATTTCGCTGAGCATGATCCCTTCCAGCTCCATCCATGTTGCTGCAAATTGCATGTGTTTATCTTTTTTGAATGCTGAGTAATAGTCCACGGCGTATATGTACCACATCTTCTTGATCCAGTCATCTATTTTTGGGCATTTGGGCTGTTTCCAAAGCTTAGCTATTGTAAACAGTGCTGCTATAAACATAGGGGTGCAGGTGCCCTTTGGAATTGATGTTTCTGTGTCCTTTGGGTAAATACCTAGGAATGGAAGTGCTGGATCATTTGGAAGCTCTATGTTTAGTAGGTGAAGAAATCTCCACACAGCTCTCCATAGTGGTTGGACCAGTTCAAACACAACTTCTTTATCTTTATTTATACCCTTGGAGGCTGCCACATTGTCTGGCACACAGTTCATATTGTAAATATTTTGAATCAATGCTGAATGAGAAGCACTTGGGAGGAAATCAGAAAAGCACCAGGCCATGGGTCAGAGCACAGAGACAGAGCAGGAAGAAGGAGTCACGCTGAGTGTTGGCTGTGTGAACACTTGGAGTAAAATTTCAAAACAACGTGAACTAAAAAATCTAGTACATTTAGAAAATGTCTCTTCATTAGAAATACCTGAATATATAATCCACTTTTTGTTATTTTCATTTTAATATAAAACTGACCCTTTAAATAAAAATTTAAGCTGGAAAGAAACAAAATCCACATTAAACATCTCATCCAACCATATCACTTTGCCCGTGTGAAAACTGAGGTCAAAGGGGCCAAGTGATATGCCTCAACTGAAACAGCTATCTAGGAGCATTAAAAAAACTGCAATCGGGCCTCCCCGGTGGCGCAGCGGTTGAGCGCTGGGTTGCGAAGCTGCCCACAGCCTCTGCAACGCCGGTTCGATCCCCAGCTGCTCCCCAGCCACCGGAGAGGGTCCCACATGGCGTGCAGACCTCTCCTGCCACCCGCTGCTCCCCTCAGCAGCGTACTTTGGTCCTTCTGCCTGCTCTGCTCCCCGCTCTGGCTCTGGTGGATTCTCTCACCCTCCCGCGCTTCTGACTGTACCCAGTGTATGTATAAACAAAACAAAACAAACAAACAAATAAATAAATAAAACATGCCTCTATTTAAAAAAAAAAAAAAAAAAAAAAAAAAAAACCTGCAATCTCCTGGCCTCCAGGCCCATGACCTTTCTCTTCTACTGCCTTTGGGATCTTCTTCTTCACAACATTAAAAAGAAATGAATGAAAAAGCAGTTTGGTTGTTTCATGAGGAGTGATGAAAATTATATTTTCTCTAATTTGTAAGCAAGCCTGTAAAAAACACTTCCCCCCCCCCCCGGAAAAAAAAATTACAAAATTAGACAAATTTAAATGAAAATAACAGTATTAGAGAGCTTCTTAGGTTAATCCTAATTTTAGGCATATGAATCAACTATGAACATGTTGGCAAGAGATTTTGTGGGGATACTGTCTTCAAAGTCTGAAAAACAGCAAAGTCATTTGTTACAAAGCTCTTAAGTCATTCTTACTGAATGGTTCCTGGAAAGTTTTTATAGCAACCAAACTCTTCCAAAATGTCTGTTAAAACTTGGCATCAATAATTACTACCAGAAAATGATTTCAGAATCAATCAAAACATTAACATCAGAGTGAAGAAGCACAAGAATTCTCAAGAGAAAATATGATTTAATGGGCAAATAAGGCACTGTTTCCAAAATATTAATATTTCACCATGAAGTTCTCTACCAGAAGTAGATTTCTGAAAACTTTAGCAAAAATTTAGGATGCTACCTTTATTTTTATCTAATAAAAAATTCATAATTAAAGTACAGTAAGGATTATCATGCAAGTGTAAAGCAATTAAAATGCATTTCTATGCAAATCAAAACTACAATGAGATACCATCTCACACCAGTGAGAATGGCACATACTAAAAAATCTAGCAACAACAAATGTTGGCGAGGATGTGGAGAAAAAGGAACTCTCCTGCACTGTTGGTGGGAGTGCAAACTGGTCCAACCACTATGGAGAGCTGTGTGGAGATTTCTGGACCTACTAAACATAGAGCTTCCATATGATCCAGCAATTCCACTCCTAGGTATTTACCCAAAGGACACAGAAACATCAATTCCAAAGAGCACCTGCACCCCTATGTTTATAGCAGCACTGTTTACAATAGCTAAGCTTTGGAAACAGCCCAAATGCCCAAAAATAGATGACTGGATCAAGAAGATGTGGTACATATATGCCGTGGAATATTACTCAGCATTCAAAAAAGATAAACACATGCAATTTGCAGCAACATGGATGGAGCTGGAAGGGATCATGCTCAGCGAAATAAGCCAGAAAGAAAAAGAAAAAGACCGGATGGTCTCACTCATAGCAGGAATCTAGAAAACCTAAATAAGGGACCAGGAAAAAAATAACTCTAAGAAAGTAAAAATCAAAATCAACAAACAACTATGAACCAGAGACACTCTATGGGGGGCGGGGAGGGGAGGGATTGGGGTCAAAATAAGGGGGTTGTAATTGTATGGGGAATATAAAAATAAAATTTAAATAAATGTTAAAAAATGCATTTCTAACTTATGTTGAGGAGCCACCCATTTGACTCATCTTTAGGATAATTAACAAGTAACAAAAGTATTAATACTATTCTTTCACCCATGTATCTCATGATTTGCTCTTTGAAAAACAAAATGAAAATAAAACAACAACTACTGCTACTAAAAAGCTGAGGAAAATAATCAGAATGAAAGCATTTGGGGTTAATTTGGACAGTGCATTTTGTCTGCCCAAGATAAAAAAAAAATGCATATTCATATAGTACTTTCTGTCCTTTTTTAACCCCAAATAGTATACAGTAACATGATAGCTATAAAATTTACAAAGTTATTTTTACTTTTAATTTCTCTTTTTTTTGAAGATTTATTTTTATTTATTTATGTATACAAGAACTGGGGTATAGGCCAGAGGTGCAGGGGTGGAGGTGAGAAGATTCACCAGAGACAGAGTGGGGAGCAAAACAGGCAGATCTACTGAAATACACTCCTGAGGAGAGCAGTGGGTGAGGAAGGAGAGGTCTGCTGTGCCATTTGGGTCCCCTCCCTGGCAGGCCACGGATTGGAACTCGTGCTACAATGGCTGGCTACAGTGGCTGGAGATAGCTTAATAACACTGTCTTTAACCCCTGAGCCACCAGAGGTTCCCCTTTATTCGTAATTTCTAAGTAAAGATGGCAAGCCGCTAAGTGCTCTGCTCAGAGCCATCTTGGCTGTGGCACTCAAGGGGCTGACCCTACCTAGCTGTCCTTTGCTCAATGTGGTTCAGCAAGAAATAAACTAGCTATTAATAGTCTGACATTTCCTATTTATTCTGGGATGTGAATTCTGTTTTCAAGGCACTTAGAAAAAGTCTGTATTTTTATAGGCAGGATGGCTTTCTAGAAAGTAGTAGAACAGATTTGCCCAAAGAAGGAATCCTTCCACTCTTAGGCAGTTGAGAAGGGATGAAAGTTTTTTTAAGAAGTAGAGAACTACTCCATTGCATATTCTTTACAAAGGTGAACTTCCAGCCCCAAAATGCTTATTTGTTTTACTCTCCTAAGGAGGGGAGTGTAAGATAAAGCTTACCCAATTTCTCAGCCACTGCCACCCCCAGTGTCAGGCTGGCAGATGCCAGGGCTGTTGTGGTCAAGTCACACCAGGTTAACTTGGCCAAAGGAGAGCACTCAGCCAAAAAGTGAAAGGAAATGAAGCAGCAAAGGTTAAAAAAAAAAAAGTACACCTGCAGCATGAAGTAAATGAAGAATCCAGAGAGCAGGAGAGAAGGAAACTTGCAGGAAAAGTCATTTTGGTGTGAACTGCTAATAATGCCAACACAGCTCATATCAGAGCCTTTATCAGCACTGGGCCTTGGGCAGTCTCCCTGCATCCATGGGCAGGTTCTCCTGAATGAAACATAAAGGGACATACCAATTCTTGTTCCATTTGTGTGCAAATTCCACGAGCAGTAGGAGCTGGATGCCTATGAAGAGGAAGCCTCCAATGGCTCCCACATAGCGCCAGGCTGCAAAAGACCATCCAAAAGGAGATGAGTAGATTGTTCAAGAGTTCAGCTCAAATGAAAGTAGTAACTACACCTAATTTTTATTGCATGTTCACTGTGCCTGTAACACATTTAATTTCCACAATAGCACATAAGTGAATACTATGCTAACACCCACTTTACAGATGAGAAAAAATGGAAGTCCCATCGTCCATACGAGCTGGGATATAAGCACAGTCAGTCTGTTCTGCAGGCCCAAGAATGACCTCATGTTGTAGATGCCAAATATCCTAACACTGTAGTGATTCATAAAATCAACAACCCACCATTTAAAATAAAGATAAAAATGTAACAGGGTGGTCCCCAGGGAAAGGGGAGTTGCCAGGTTACCTGCCCCACCCAAGGAAGGGTGGAGCTGAGCAGGGAGAAGGAGAAGCTGGAGAAGGGACTGGGCGGAGGAAGAAGATGGAGAGCAAGGAGGAGACCTGGAGGAAACACATGGAGCAGAGACATGTGAAGAAGCTGTGCTTGCTTCTCAGCCTTGGACTTGCAACAGGGATTGGGGGACATGGAAAAGACACTTGAAACAGAAGAGGGTGAGACCTGTTGGGAGGTTAACAATGGCAGCGTTTATCTTGACTTTGAATTTGCTCTTTTCCTTCCAGACTTGTCTGGCTCTTTCTTTCTTTCTTTTTTTTTTTTTTTTTTTTAAGGAAGTGACTTTTTTTTTAATTTTTCTTTTTGAATATTTTTTACAATATTGTTCATTTTTAAACAATATTTGCTTCCCCCACCCCCCCCAAGTGTAGTCCTCATAGAATTTCCTTCCCCAATGCACCTGTGCACCATCACCACAGTCCCCTGTTCTCCTTCCTCCCTCCCTCTGATCCATCTCCCTTCTCCTCCCCTACACAATGTCTCTTATTTATAATTGTCTGTTTTTGCTTTGTTGTGTTTTGTACTGTTATTATTATTTTTTTAAAATGTGATCCTTTTTTTAAAAGATTTATTTATTTATTTATACAAGCACTGGGTACAGTCAGAAGTGCGGGAGGGTGAGAGAATTCACCAGAGCCAGAGCGGGGAGCAGAGCAGGCAGAAGGACTAAAGCACACTGCTGAGGGGAGCAGCGGGCAACAAGAGAGGTCTGCGCACCATGCGGGACCCTCCTCCAGTGGCTGGGGAGCAGCGGGGATCGAACCGCCCCTGCAGAGGCTGTGGGCAGCTTCGCAACCCAGCGCTCAACCGCTGCGCCACCGGGGAGGCCCTGTTACTATTTTTTTACAGTGATATCTCCCTTTCCGACAGGTTCCCACCAGAAGGTGCCTTAGGTTTGTGGCAAATTTTGGGCCTAAGCAGCCCTGCTTTGAGCCAACCCTGTTTTGGCTGGGCATTTATCCACGAAGGGATGAGTAACATTGGGTGCTTGATTTAAAAATTTTATTCTTTTTCTTGTCGTTATTGCACAATTGTATCTTGTATTATCTTTTTTTTTCTATTGATGTTCTTATGCACTAGAATATGCTTTGTCTTGATGAGGCAGATGACAGAACCTATTTAGAGTGGACAGGTTTGGGGGTCCTGGGGTGCCCTTCACCCTGCTCCATAACAAAAACACTTACTGCCAGGAAAATCAAGGGCCTAAGTTATATTGATTAGAGAATCATCAATGTCCAGTCCAATGAACTGAAATGAGGGTCAGACTGGGGGGAGTCCAGGACTCAGATTCCACTTCTGGTTCTGCCACAGAGAAGCTCTGTGAGTCATGTCACATCTCTGGGTTACAGTTCATCTACAAAAATGACCTGCCTAGACTAAAGCAATGCTAGCTTGATTCCCACTCTAAGTGTGTTGTTCTAATCGATAAAAATACCTCTGTGGGGAACAGAGAACTGGGTAACAAACAGTATTTTAGGTAAAAACAAGATTTGGATACAACTTCTATAAGGAATATATAAAACTAGTACAACCCTAAAAAAAACAAATGACCCCTAAAATGGTACTGAGGGGCTATAGTTGTTCCTACAACTGATAAAATGTGGAAATTCTTACTATCTTAAATTAGAACAGTGAATCCATTTGGGTTGAGTTGACAATGCTCTGAACCACTCAAATTCAGGCAATTATCCCCCCTAGTTCTTATGAAAACACATACACACAGCGCCTCCCGCATTTTAGCTATGATTAAAGGCTTCATGTTAAATTAATTTTGTTAGGTTCTACCAGTAGGGATATAATTCAGAGTTATACAGTTTCCTGTAACATATGTTTAGGAATAGATGGAGAAACGTCTTTCTTATCCCATTTTAGCTACAACAGCAGATTTACAGCTTCTAAGAAGCCTCATGCTCTGTGTGGCTGGGTTTTCTGTGCTGTGCTCACAAAGAACAAGGTCTCCCTGGGCCTCTTCAAACAAGGCTGGTGGTGTCCTGCTGACATGCTAAACTGGTTTTCAAACAAATTTTAAGTGCCTCATTTTCCCTTCAGGCCATAACCTTAAAACTATCATTTCAATTACCCCGCCAGAAAAATAAAGGTCCTCACAGACCCAGGCAGGAAGAGAGGGAAGGAAGGAGGAGGCAAATGGGAGAGTGGAGAAGGGGGTTAGGGAAGGAATGGGGGTGGGGGGAGGGGATTTTTTCAAGTCACAGGAAAATTAGTAATTCGAAATATCAAATGTTATAGCACACCGGTGCCGAGTCCAAGAACGACCAAGACCCAAGTCCGATGCAAAAACAAAAGCGACCTTTACTAGCTAGCTCGAGCTAGGGCCCGAACCCCCAGAGTGGAACGACACAGCGGGCCGTGCCCAGACAGGGTTGGACCCTGAGCACCAAAATCAGGCAGTTTATATAGGCAGTTTCAGACACCATATCGGGCAGTTACAGACACCTTATCAGGTTCCTGGAATTTGGATTCCAAGAATCCAAACCCAACTGCCAGCTATCTAAAATGGCTGCTGTTCTAACATGGCTGCTGTCTTGTTCATTACATTCTTACACAAATACACCCTGGACTAAGTCATTGAACAATTTTATAAAATGGGTAAAAACAAAATAAATAGATACCCAAAATACCCCATTTGTACCATTCAGAAAGGTCTCCTGGTCTGGAATGAAGAAAGCTCCTGAGCACATGGCCCCCAGCAGCAGGAATTTACAGAACCAAAAGCTGTAAGGTAAAAAGGAGGAAATGTATTTAAATGATATTCCAGGACGAACAAAAGCTCTCTTAGAAGGTAAGCAGCATGTCAAGCCATGATTCTGCCATTGGTAGTGTTCTCTCCAAATCGAGGGGAAGTAATTAAGTGACTGGGGACTGCCTTTTTCCCGTAATTAGACAACTCTGCCTGGCCTCTGATTGTACAAAACATCATTTCGTTGCAGGAATGGAAATGACCTGGGGAAAGGTCTTAGTACCAGAATTAAACTCCAGCCTCTTCTGCATTTCTCATTATCATAGCAAGGGTTACAAACAGGATTTTAGTTCTTAGGCCACTGTGTGGTGATAAGTGTAAGTCTCACCTTCCCTAAATCTAGTGTTAACAATTTCAAGAAGAGAAAGAGCAGTGAGAGGTGAGACAGGCTAGGTAAATTAAATTGTGAGCCTGCAGAAGGGAGCTGCCCAACTTCCTGCCTGAACAGATGGACTAAATCACAACTGGCAGGAGCTGTTTAACATCTTACTGTAACAACCCGTTTGATATATCCCAGCAGACTAACAAATGGCCACATCCTAACAGATGGTAGCCTATACTAACCATTCTGGTGCTGTATCTTGACAGGAGGTACCATATATCCTGATAAACTACTGCTACTTTAACAACTGAATACCCACACTGTAGCTGAGAAGGGAGGATTCCGCATTCCCAGATAGCAGAGTGACCCAGGTCTCATTAGCATGTTAAAATGCACATCTCTGGGAGAAGATTTAAGATGCTAGTGACACATGCAACATATGAAGAAGCATGTAACCCTCTACACATACCCTAGTGTAGTTGAGTCAAAACACTGCCCCCTTCTACCCCATCCTGGTAGATAAGCCCCTTAAAAATCTTTTCTTAGCTCTTTTGGGAGAACCAGGCTCTTATGTGTTTCAAGCAAAGTCAAATAACATATTTTCCGGATGAGGTCTGTCTTGTCTCCTTATTAAATTTTACAAAGAGTCAGAACCTCTGTGGAGTCCCCAGATCAGTAACAGAGGGTCTGATGAATAGAAGGGGTCCTGGAATACTGCTCTGAATGTAAGGAGAAAGTATCCCCATGAAGACTTACCCATTGTGGATATAGGCTCTACAGCTTTTGCTGTTGTTGATTTTCAAGGTCAGGAGGCAGAAAATAAAGAAGAAACAGGCCATTCCAAAACAGACTCTATACACTGCAGAATACCCCACCAGATTCTCACAGGTGTCACCAGCTTTAATGCCTTTACAGATATCTTCGAAATAAGGAATCTGAGAGAAAAAAGAAAAAAAATGTCACCTGTGAAAATGGGGTAAAAGACAAACTGTCATTGACAGTGCCCTCAGCTTAAGTCAAAATCCAAGGTGAAAATGTACCACCTGCACAAAGACCAAGAAGGGTCTTTTCCCCAGAAACTTTTCTCAATTTGAACCCCTGTTAAAGATATGGCTCTCCCAGCTTTATTTGCCTTAAATGATAACTGAAGTATAAGATTAGGATTTCTAAAAATTACACAATTAATACATGTATACATTTTTGTGGAAATGCAAAAATAAAGAGAATAAAAAAATAAGAGACCTCCTTCATTCTCATACAAAAAATTACTTTCCTCCTCAACAGAGCTAACAATTTAGTGGGTATATTTATTAGTTCACAAATATAAATGTGTGTATATGGATACATTCCCCCATATTAATATATAACATTCACAAATAACATATAATATTCATGCATGTACATATACATACTTGTATGGTACTGTATGTATGTACTTACACAGTTTTATTAAATCAAAGATTGTGTGTATTGTTCTGTGATTTCTTTTTCCCAATTAATGATAAGTTGTGGCATTCTTCCTCTATTATACATAAAATTCCAACCTGCCTTTTTGACTGCCATGTAATATTTCATAGTAAGGGCAGATCAAAATCAATAAGCATTCCCACAATGAGTTTTTTATTTTTGTTGTGGAGGGCTTTTTGTTTGTTTTCTGTATTTGTTTGGTTTTTGTTTTTTTGCTATTATGAACACTGATTCAAAAAGCACCATTGTGCACCCCTTGTTGTGGCTGCGCCATCATTTGTGTAGGATAGACCGGAGTTAGAAGTAAAAGTTCATTCCAGATACTGGAATGTAGCATTTACATTTAATTTTCAAAAGTACAGTCAAATCACACTGTCATTGGCTACACCAATTTATATTCCACCAGTAATATCTGAAATTGCTCATATTCCCAACCTAAACACCCAAGTTAAAGACAAAACACAGTATCTTGTTTCAATCTTCATTACTTGTGAGGGTCACATTGTTAGGGGGAAAAAGATGTCCTAAAGCTAATTCCATACAGGTTTTGTGGACTCCACCCCCACCCCAGGCCAAAGCCAAAGACACTGGGAACTCCAAATCCCATCACCACCAAAGGGAAGGTAGCTGGGACCTGAGGGTGGGGTTAAGCAGCCAGGTTGAGATAAAAGGCAGACACGTGAGCTTTGAGGGGGGTCCCCCATTTTTGGCTCTCCGCCAGCTCGCAGAGTCCAGCCAGCTCTGAGAGTGACTTTGGGTTTCCAGGTCGGCGGATTGGTTAGGACGCATTAAAGACTTAATTTCCCTATTTTCTCCCTGAGTTGTACCTTTTCCTTATTTCCTTTTCCCTTGTAAGTAAACCTTTTATTAACCTTTTGTGTGTGCCTGTAGTGGAGTATTCATAAGTCCCTTTTAAGCGCGCGGGTGAGGACCCACAGCCAGGAACCCGTTCAATATCGGGGCCCTCTATAACAACATCTTTCCTTAAGTGAATAGCCATCTCTTTTTTCTCTGAATTAGCTGTTAATGGATTTGATCTTCATCCACTGAAGAGTATCATTTATGGGTCTCTATCTTCTGATAATATTTGTCTAACAATGGTTAATGCTAGTCCAATTAGAAGGTTTCAATGTAAAACCTATTTATATCATAGGAATAATTAAAATCTTCCGTAATGAAAACAAGCTGTACATTTCCATTAATGTCAGAACATAAGGATTTACTCAGTGGCTAAAAAACAACAGCAAAAACAACAGAAGTTTGCTTGTTGTTAAAGTCAAACACTCTTCAGCACAAAAAATAAGTTCAAAATCACATTATGACTGTTAGTCACAATGTTAGGGGGAAATGATGTCCTGAGCTAATCCCATACAGGCTTTGTGGACCCCACCCCCACTCCAGACTAAAGCCATCAAGACATTGGGAAAGACAAATCCCATCACCACCAAGGGAGGGTGGCTGGGACCTGAGGGTGGAGTTGGGCAGCCAGGTTGGATATAAAAACCAAACACGTGGGCCTTGGGGTCGCTGGCTCGGGATCACTCGCCTCCTGGCTTCACCGCTCCTGGCTGGCGGCCAACTCTGAGAGCACCATTTTGGGATTCCTGATCGGCGGATCGGGTAGGACTCATTTAAAACTTTGTCTCCCACTTTTCTCCCAGAGCTGTACATTTCCTCATTTCCCCTTCCCTTGTAAATAAACCTTTTATTAACCTTTCACGTGTGCCTGCAGTAGAGCATTGATAAGTCCTTCTAAGCGAGCGGGTGAGGACCCACAGTCAGGTACCCCGTTTTGTATCAGGGTTGCTCTACAACAACAAGACAAAAAAATATAAGAGTGGGGGAAAAATTACATAAAGCTGGTGGTGAAATAATTTATTAAGCTGGTAGCATAATAATTTAGTTTCTTCTTCAGAAAAGATTTTAAAGAAATAGTAACTACTAAGAACTACAAAAAAGCAGTAATAGCTATTAAGATTTCTGTAAAATAGAAGGAAGACTAAAATTAATTGGAGTTCATCTTCTAGATGAATGAGGGTTCTCTTTCCTCAGAAAAGGTCTATAGTTATTAATATATCTAAATAAAAATGGACTTTTTCAAACATGTTTTTCCAAAGTAAAACAAGGTCTTCCAGATTAGAGCCTCAGGCAAAATCCCACTGTTACTGAGACGCTCTGAGCATAGCCCCAATTTCATGAAAGATATGAAAGACTTCATGGAGATGTCAAACATTTTGTATTAAGCAAGTTCCTGCAACTGCAAATCTTTTAGTTCAGGGTAAGATGTGATGGCATAAAAGAGAGACACTGCTGTATTTTTTGACCTGGTGACCCAAAACACGGAATGCCACGTAAAATACAAAATATCTATTTGAATTTAATTTCAGATAAACAACAACTTGTTTTTTTTTTTGTTTTTTTTGTTTTTTTTTAGTGTAAGTATGTCCCATACAATATTTGGGATAGAGACTAAAAAGGTATTTCCAGGCAAGAGATGAAGCTCAGAAGAAGGCAGGGTCTCATTAGGAGGGGCAGGTAAATGCCATACTAAGAAGTTGTCCCACCAGTCAGTATGGAAATACAATTATTTAAGCAGGAATGACTTTGGCTGAAAAGGGGACAGGTTGGGGCGGGAGGGTAAGTTCGAAGACATCAGGTTTAACCAGTGCAAGCCATAGGGTGATGAAAGTAAACCAGTGGCAGAGAAAACAGAGATTGGGGAGGCAGAATCCATAGTTGGCAGGACTGCACGGGCGACAAGGTAAGTGAAGAATAGGGGGAAGGGTCTTCCCGCCTTTTTAACATGTTGTTTGGGGGGCGGGTGTGGAGTGTGGTTAACAGAGGACAAAGAATGGAACTGGAGGAACAGACCAGATGCTGTTTTGTTTTGTTTTTTTTTTTGTTTGTTTGTTTGTTTTTGTGGGACCCTCGCCAGCGGCCGGGGAATGAACCAGCGCTACAGAGGCTGTGGGCAGCCTCGCAGCCCAGCGCTCAACCGCTGCGCCACCAGGGGAGGCCCCAGATGCTGTTTTTAAACTACGGAGCTGGTGGCACCTGAGGCATCCCAGTGAGAATGCTTGGTCTGGAAATTGCTTCAAAACAGCAACACACAATGCAGGACGCTTTCCCACGCAGCTAATGAGAAAAGTTGTTTCAATGTGAGTGAGCAAAGTCAGAGGGTTAAAATCAGATACTGAAGTCATTGGACGCCACACTCACAAGAAACAGAAACTACGCTTGCATAAACAGTGCAGTAACAGGGAAGTTAATATTGCATTCAATCTGTAAAAGCTATGTTGGTGAAAGAATCACATCCATTCACTCTTTAGGTTATGTTATTTATATGGAAGTTACCATTCCATAATGTCCATTCAACTCTTTTCCTACTTCCCTTCTCATTCCACTATCAGCAATACTATCTCCTGACTCAGCCCCCTCATACACACAAGCGCACACAATAAGAGATGCACATCAGCACCCCTTTCACCCACACCAACCCCTCTTTCACCTTTACCTTCTTTTCTACTTCTTGGACCCAAATGCCCTCTCTTATCTCCTTTCCTTCTAAAATCCATTTCAAGGAGAATGCTGATAGGCTTGAACTTCTATCCCATCATCCCCCACAAGGCCTCTCCCTTGCTGATTCCCAGGGGCCCTGAGGCACACCAAAGAGTGAGCATGTGGGATTGCATATTTTATTCAAAGTAAAAGTTGGGAAACAGTCCCTTGCTCCAAATACTAAGATGTGTTTTATGCTCTGTGGGTGACTTGATTATTGATGCTTTCTGTAAGGAGTGAGTATTTTTAAGTTAAGAACCTTCTAAACTGAAAAAGCTGGCAGGATTTACAAGGGGAATTTGTTCTGATTAAATATTTGCTGTTCCAAGTTCCACCTCAGTTTTGGAAAAAGAAAACATATATTACATACAGATTCCTCACTGTGGGGCTGCGAAGGGTGTTGCCTCTTAAGTCTGGTTCTGGGCATTCAAGGACACTTGGCATCTCAATGGGTTTCATACAGAACGGAGGGCAAGGGGTTCCCTCCCAGCCTTCAAGGCACCAAATCAAAGCCACAAACTGCCAGTAAGAAAAACAGCACACATGGTCTTTCAGCCCTAACTCCACTTCTAACTTGGGCAAACTACAAACCCTCCGTGAGCCTCAGTTTCCCTATCTGTATAAGGAAATAATACTGCCATTCATCTAATGCAGTTACCCTGAGAATGAAAACAGTTATTCCTATTTTTTTGTATTTTTAAAGATTTTATTTATTTATTTTTGCATAGAAGAACTGGGGTATAGCCCAGAGGTACAGGAGTGGAGGGGAGTGAGAGGATTCACCAGAGAAAGAATGGGGATCAGAACAGGCAGATCTACTGAAATACACTGCTGAGGGGAAGAGAGGGCGAGACAGGAGAGGCCTGATGCACCATGTGGGTTAGCTCCCTGGCCAGGAATTGAACTCAGG